TAATTAATTCAATCTATTATAAATTTTTAATTTAATACAAATAATACATTAACACATAATTTAATATGGCCTCCTCATGTCTGTATGACGATAAGTTCGTAATGGCTTGCTGGGGTTGCTGGGCGCATTTCTTGGTTTGGGTTGTAGGCTGCTAGGCACTTTGGCTTCTCTTGGCCCGATTGGCCTTTATTTTTCTTTTTACCTAGCATCCTCCAAACGACACCGTATGAATTAAAAAAAGGGTCAACTCATCTTCAATTGCTCGATCGTTCCCCGTCTTGTGGCCGACAAACTACTTTCCAAGCTTGCCGGAAAAACTCAACGGACCAGTCCGGCGGCCTCCCAACCCCTACCAATATACCCTAACTCCAAAAATGGAGAAGAAAAACTGCGACTTGCATGCGCGAGCGACCTGCGAACACAAATGTCCAAAACACTATTGTGGACATATAAAATTATTGGGTTGATTATGATTACGTCTCTTCTGAATGATATTGGACCGATCTCAGATTCAGTTGGACTATTATATGTGGTATTGGACCTATTTTGAATTTATTGGGCCAAAATAAGATTTTATTGGACTGCTCGTGAATGATATACAAATCCATTCAAATAAAATTTAGTGATTAAGTTAATTCGGAGCACTCAAATATCCAATTAATTTAATTATAAACTAAATTTTTGATAGAATGGACCGGTCGTATTAATTTTGAGTCCATTATCAAATAGTGGCTCAATGTATAAGAGACATGACCCCTATTGCTAAAGAGAGCAATGAATCTGGCTAAGAAATATGTCCATATGCATGAGAAATAGCTCCGAACCTTGTTAAGAAAGTTGTCCAGGTACATTGCACAAGTGCCGATTTTTCTAGCTATTAAAATCCAAGGAAATAGAGCCCAAAGCCCATTTTAATTGAGGCCCAAAGGGTATGGACAAATATCTCCAATCCTAAACCATATTTTCACCCCCTCCACACCTATAAATAGAAGTCTCAGTTGAGAGGAAGGGAGGAGAACTTCCAGTCGAAGAAACGCTGCAGAAAAGCTCTGAAGAACTCCCGAAAGACTCTGAAGGATTCCGAAACATCGGAAGATATCAAGCCACATTTTTGTCAAGAATATATGATTAATCCTTTGTGATTTTCATCGATTCTTGATCAAACACGGCCAAAAAGTTGAAGAACGTTCGAAGATCTGAAGAACGAAGCTTGAAGATTTGAAGATCTGAAGAACGAAGCTTTGAAGATTTGAAGATATGAAGAACGAATCTTTGAAGATTTGAAGATATTCATATGAAGATTGAATCAAAATTCAATTGAAGATCAAGCCATATATCCCGGGAGGCCCTTAAACAGGAGATTAAGCCATAAAACAGTCCTTTTGTTGAAGATCAAGCCACTTGAAAACCGGAGGCCCTTCAATCTGAATTCTTTATTCAAGAAGATTTGAAGATCCGAAGAACGAAGATTCGAAGATCTCAAAAACGAAGATTCGAAGATTCGAAGATCTCAAGAACGAAGATTCAAATATTCGAAGAATGTTTGAATATTTGAAGGATTAGAGATTTAATTTATATTAAATTCTTTAATTATATTACTTCAAATTGCAAGTGAAGAATCAGAGGATTCATATTTAGAGATTGTACCCGATATTCTCACACATTATTATTTGCGATCAATTTTAAGTAAATACTTAAAATTTGTTTCACAACTATCTTTCAAAGATACGATTTAATTTTTGTTTCTTCCAATAACGTTTTATTTTTTCCCGGAACTAGAACTGCTGCTCGAGCAGAACACTTCTTCTTCCACAACAGAACTGCTCGGACAGAAGTCCTCTGCTACGGAGCTCGGACCAGAAGACCTGAGGGTGTTCTGGTCGCGCACGTTACACCAGAAGACCTGGTGTTCTGGTTGCGCATGTTACACCAAAAGACCTGGTGTTCTGGTCGCGCACCAGAACAGTTCTTGTCCATTACAACAGTTAATGCCCAACGTTCTTATCTTTTAATGCTTCTTTAAATGGACATTTTTTTGACATAATCATGCCCATCGTGCTGGTCATTTATGCTCAACGTTCGGGTCAATTAAAACTCAGTTAACACACAACAAATCCTCCTATAAATAGCTGGCAGGTGCTTTTCAACAACACATGCAATCATACACAATCTGCACATATTTTTCAGCTAAAAAACACCTCCAGCTTTCCGAAAATTTCCTATACTATGTTTCCATTCGCTGGAATGATTTGTTGAGTGCTCAAACAATTGTTCGTAGTCATCGTATCCTGCGAAACGATCGTTGCACCGCTCCTAGCACCTAGAGAGGCAACGAATACCTTTTAAGGAAATCGTGGGTAGCACGAGCTTTGGCTAAATTCTGCTCCATCTTATTTCTGATTTTCTTTAGTCATTTTAATTAATTTATTAAATTATTTTTTCTTTGTTTTCTGAAACACACCCAACAATAAATACCATCTTCTTATACGGTGTACTAAATTGATCACTCGATTCATGAATCTTTTATACAGAGTAATATATACTATCGTATTTCAATTTTTTGTTTAGGCGCTAAACTTTATAAAGTTGATTTTTTAAAGCCAACATATTAAGAAAAGACCTAAAAACCAACAAAAACGTAAATACAACTCCTGTAATGTGAAAGCAAAACTTGGCTAAGTTTAACCGACACAAAACAAAAAAAATAAAAATTGTGAGAATGAGGTTTTTGTAGAGGAGAAAGAATTAACAAGAATCACAATTTTTTTAATTTAAAGAGAAAGCGACAAAGTTATTGAGACAACTGAAAAGGAAAAATTGGCAAAGTTTTAATAAATGAAAAACGTATAATTTACCAGTTCCTCTTAAAGCCAAGGTTGACATTTAAAGGATTTGCTTACCCTTCTTAATTGAGGTTTAGTGGTAGCGGTCTTTCGACCACTGTCTGGCGATGGTTGAAAGGTCTGACGTGTGGCGTTCGAAGTTTTGACAACTACTCAATCATTGTTGGCGGAAATTGTTGTGATAAATATTCTATGGCAGTAGAAGATGTAAAGTAAATGAGATTTTAATATTAAAAATAATATTATCTTCGTCCCGGTAAACTTTGCCAAGTTACAATTAGATGAAAAGTAAAAAAAAGTGATATTTGTGTAGTTAGTTTGTGCAGACGAGAGAGAAATGAACTGAACCATAATTATTTAACTTAATAAAAAAGTGAGAATATTTTTTGGGACAATCAAAAAGGAAAAATTGACAAAGTCCAATGGCAAAGAGGGAGTATTTAAACTATACTTCATTATTATATAAATGTACCTAAAATTACATTTGTAGTATTTTTAAATGATCACTTATAAATGCACCTAACATTATATAAATGTTCCTAAAATGATCATTTGTAGTAATTTTAGTCAATTCAACTAGAAAAAATCCTCCAACCTTACTTATTTTGATTATAAAACAATTCAGAATGTGAGATCAATAATTCTCTTATAAAGGTAATACATCTATCATACTTTTACTATTTGGTTTGGAAATTATTTTAGTCGTGCGTTACACGGGTGTACCGCTAGTATGAGTAACTTAATCAAGCAAAGCAACAAAAGGTTGTCGGTGTCGCATGTCGTGACCAAGCACAAATGCTTATGGTTTGGGGATGACAGAATTTGCTATGCCAATCACCCCTGCACTTGTAGGAGGAGTCGAGGAGAATAGGAGATGATGGGACATCCATTGTGTGGTTGATGAAGGATATTGGTAGAATCCGGAGCAGGGTCACCCGAAAACTCATATATGACTGGATCCTCATGATACTCAAGTGGGGCTGAGATGTCGGGTAAGGACACAATATTGGGAAATGAATCCTCAAATAATTTCACGTCTTGAGTAACAAAGATTTTTTCGATTTCAAGATCAAAACCCCACCACCTCTTTTCTCAAAGAGATTATCGACAAACGCACACTTTCTGTTCTGCTTCGTAAATGTATCGCCCTTAGATTTTAAAGTATGAGTAAATAATAAACATCCTTCCCGGTTTTTTTTATGAAATGTATGTATATTAAAAAGGCATCCAAAACGACCAAAATTAACAAAATGCATGCATCAAGAATAAACTATCTAAGCTAGCTAAACTAACCTACACTAGCATTCAATCATTCACACACACCCCACCCCCACCAACATGCATTGGGTGGGCGAGAAGATATGTCAAATGTAGATCAAAAGATCCACACAAAATATCACGATTTGTGCGGGAGAAACCCTGATTTAGTGTCCAAAACAGTCCACAAACTCAAGAAATTCCACCAGTTCAGGTATCTCCTTCGGCCTAATTATGTGAACCCAACCTTTAAGCCAATGAAGGTCCTTAGCCTAGGCAAATAGTAATCTCAGACATGCAAGAGTAGCAGCAGGCTGCATCACAAAAGGGCCCTCAGTCGAACAAAAAATAATAGAAAGGTGATTTAAAAATGCAAAGCACGTGAAATATTTAACATATGACGATGTCTACGTTCAACCATAATGCATCTTGATAATATATTTTTTCTTTCACAAATACCTAAAATTTATGGTGTTAAATACACAATTTAAAATATTTAGCATTCGTGAAGATGCAATTAACATTTTCAACTTCCATTGTGAAGTAAATAATATTATCCCGGTCTATATAATTGTAATGCTTTTAATTTGCTATTTCTCATGATACAACTTTCATTATTAATATATTTGATTTCACATTATTCGCACACTCTACTTTGATTTTCTTATATACGTTCTAAAGTTTGTCCTGGATTATATTAAAATTTTAAATATGGCTTTTTAAATATCAATACTAATAGTCAAAGTCATGCATGTATTGGTAAATATCAAATAAAAAGTGTTGCAATTATATATATATACGAGGCAATATTAGTTATTTCATAAATAAATGCTAAAATTGTTAACTACACTCTTATAAATGATAAATGTATTTAAATTATGTATTTAATACTACCATAAATTTGCTTGTGAAAACAAATCATATTATCACGATGCTATTATAACATTTTATACAAAGTTCAAGATATTTATATCACATATGCAAGTTTAGGGTGATTTCTTTAGTATCATTCAATATTTGGGGTATTAGAATTAGTTGTCCCTATAAACTAAGATGTTTGAAAAGCATACGTATAATCGTTTTAAAGGTTCTTAACGAATAAAGATTAAAAAGTAGCAACTTGGGGTGGTGGCGCAGTTGGCTAGCGCGTAGGTCTCATAGCTTCTGAGTTATCCTGAGGTCGAGAGTTCGAGCCTCTCTCACCCCATCTATATTTTTTGTGTTTTCTCCACCGAATTTTTAAGCCATTACGCATTTGTAAAGTTGGTCGATTTATTACGAGGGTGAGGTAAGGCTTGGTTGCCAAAGAGATAAGAAATCTGTTGGATTTGGATTTGGGTTTTGAAGTTATACACAAAAAATGATACTCCGTATTTACTCAATGAGAAACCTTGGCCGCATGTACTCAATAATCGGGTAGAAAACTGATTTGAATGTCTCAAGTTAGACTTTTTAATTGAGTTGAGGTGTTAATTGAAGTCTAGAACCGTGTTCTTCTCAAATGGATAATTTGGAAATCAGCACCCCACCTCCCCCATACTGAAAAGTATGTGAACAATAGTAGATGGGAAAGGCAGTGACCTCAGTCGGAAGATTAGTTGTGCAACAGAACAACCCCATTTCTGTTGCGAATAAAACTTCGGGTTCCCAGCAGCTTCAATCCGTTTACGCATTCATTATCAGCGGTGGCCGGCTCACAGGTTTCGTATTGCAGAATAACCATTCGGTCTCTGTTCACAACCTGCTTAACAAATTATCAGCTCCCAAGCATTTCGAATCTCTATACGGATTGATCACCATATTGGGTTTAAGCAAAGACTGCTTACTTTTGAATCGGCTCATCGTTGCATCTGCTGTTTATGATGCCGATTTCGCCACTCACATCTTGTCTCAAATGGGAATTCCCACCGTGTTCGCTTACACGGCATTGATGCGGTCATTTGTCCATTCCAACCGACCGCTCAGAGCTTTAGAATTGTATGCTGAAATGCTGGAGGCCCGGTTTAGCCCAAACAGCTACGCGTTTTCCTCGATTGTTAAAAGTTGTACTTTACTCTGGGCTTTAGAGGCGGGAGAATCTGTTCACGGACAGGTTTGCAAACATGGGTTCGAATCACATGTTCATGTCTTGACATGTTTGGTGGATTTCTATTCCAATCTTGGCAAGGTGTTTGAGTCCAGGTTACTGTTTGATGGAATTCCTGAAAGAGGGAAAGATAGTGTTTTGTGGAGTGCAATGGTTTCAGCCCTGGTGCGTGAGGGGGATATGAGTTCCGCCAGGGAGGTGTATGATAAAATGCCTGAGAAAAATACTGCTTCTTGGAACACCATGATTCACGGCTATGCTAGTGTTGGTGATGTTGAATCTGCTGAGCTGTTGTTCAATAAGATGCCACAGAAGAATTTGATCTCGTGGACTACAATGATCAAGTGTTATAGTCATAACAAGATGCATATGAAATCTTTAGAACTTTTTGAGGATATGAACAAACAAGGGATTAAACCGGATGAAGTGACCATGACAACTATCGTTTCAGCTTGTGCCCATATTGGATTCCTGGATTATGGCAGGGAAATGCATCTATATATCACCCAAAATGGGTTTGATCTTGACTCTTATATCGGGTCTGCTTTAGTAGACATGTATGCAAAGTGTGGGAGCTTGGAGAGGTCACTAGTGGTCTTCTTGAAGCTGAAGGAAAAGAATCTTTTCTGTTGGAACTCTGTGATTGATGGGCTTGCAGTTCATGGCTATGCGGAGGGAGCATTGGCAATGTTTGATAGGATGGAGAAAGAAAACATAAGGCCAAACAGTGTTACCTTTGTAAGTGTTCTTTCAGCTTGTTGTCACGCTGGATTGGTTGAAGAGGGTCGAAGGCGGTTCTTTGACATGACCTTTGAATATAAAATTCTTCCGAGAGTGGAACACTATGGTTGCATGGTGGATCTTTTATGTAAATCTGGTTTGTTAGAAGAGGCCTTTGAAGTAATAAAGAGAATGCGAATGGAACCTAATGCTGTTATTTGGGGTGCTTTGCTGGGTGGTTGCAGGACCCATAAGAACTTTGACATGGCCAGAATTGCCCTTGACAATTTGACCATCTTGGAACCAAACAGTACTGGAAATTACGCCCTTCTACTTAGTATGTATGCTGAAGCAAATACATGGCCTGAAGTGTCAAGGATCAGAGCGGATTTGAAGGCATCTGGTGTTGAAAAGGAGTTTCCAGGATCCAGTTGGATTGAAGTGGAAAAGACAGTTCATCAATTTTCTGCCTGCACTACTTGTCATCCGGCTTCCCAAGAAATTTACTCTTTACTAGATGGATTAATCGGCCTACTTAAGCAAGTTGAATGTGTAACGGAGGCTGGATTTGGTTTGTAATGATTTTGGGGCAGACTAGGTCAATAGTGATTGTCCGCTGATAGATATTTTTGTTGCATGATAAATGGTGGAATCATCCACCCTAGACGTCCCTCTCAAACAATTCTGAGTATGGTGGTTTAGACTTTAGGACCTCGTGCACACAAGGAACCACTACATTGGAGATGAAACTCTTTCGGTATCGTTTCAGGAATTGAACTTGAGAGCTCAACACAACAATCTCACTTCCCGTGCAATTGCATGAGAAAATATCAATATTGGGCAAGTGGTAGATGAATTTCCTCATGATGCAAGGCTGCGACGGATTACAAATATACGAAGTACGTAGTATGTAACAGGGGCACTAACTCATGTAATTTAAACTTATACGGAGTAATTCATTATGTATATGATTTAGCCTAAAAAAAAATTATGTGATTACATTTAAAGCAAGAATGTAATATTTTTAATGCATTTTTGTATTGCAAAATTTAACAACGGTATGTCACACTTAATTCACTAAATATCTCTTTAAAACTATAAGCAGTTCTTTTCTTTATAATGGCTTTAAGAGTTACGTCAATATCATTAAATAAAACAGGTCTAAGTTACCAAATGGATTCATACATGAATAGTTTGCTGACCATTACAATTACACGATTAAAAAGGGGTTAAATTTCATACATAATACGCAGTATTAAAATAAAAAATATTAGTCAAATACAATTCTAACTACTTCGCCATGAAAATAACATTCATTCGTTTCTAAAGAAGAATCAACAATTACTCTTATTCTTTATTTATGATTAGATAAATTTTGTCTTGGCTATTGTTTGAAACCACTAACATTGATATAACTATATCCTAAGTATTCAATGAATGATCATACTTTTTAATATCAGGTCGAGTTTATCTCATTTAGATTCAATTATATACAGGGGCGTAACCAGGATATTGGGCTAGACTGGGCCGGTACAAAGAATATTATTGGAAAAAGAATTACACAAAATTTTTTACACTAAAAATATTGATATTTTTCAAATTTGGGGTGGGCCAGGGCCTAGCTTGGGCACCCCCTAGCTCCGCCCCTGATTATATACATATCATTTTTATTTTTGCTATTGTTGGGTTCTTTTCTTAATTGAGAAATTCATGAGAATTCTAGTAAATGCCGTGGAGATATCTAGAATTCTCTTGATATGTGTAGAGAAGTATTGAATGTCCTATAATATTCTGAAACTTTATAGAGAGTTCTGCAATTCTCTAAAAGTGTGTTGAAGAGTGTAGAATATGCTAGAACATTGTGGAGTTATCTAGATAAGTGTGGAATTTTCAGGAATCATGTGAAAGTGTGCGAAAGCCTCTAGAACATTCTAAAGCAGTGTGTAGTTTTCTAGATCCTTCTAGAAGATTAGAGAAGCTTGTGAATACTTCTTGGAAGACTCTACAAGTGTAGTGGTGCACAGAAAGTTCTTGAGAATCTTTGAGGAGATTAGTATAAATAGGGGAGAGGCTCCTCATTTCTGAGTGAGAGCCTTGAGAGAGTGCATTGTGAGAGCCTTCTTGAGTGATGAGAGACGGGCTTGAGGAGAGACTCTTTAGTGAGTGAAAGCCTCTTTGAGAGAGGAGAGTGAGAGTGAAGTAGTTTTATATACAAAGAGTGAGATGAGCTACTCGTTTACTAGTAAAGCTCTCTTGTTACATTTCAATTGTATAATACAAAGTGATATTGTCATATTGAATCTTTATATTGCTCGGGTGTGGGTGAATGTACAAGAGTCCTTTGAACTCGTGATCATGGAAGAGGTCGGGTGTCGTGTTTTCCCCAAGAGCTACTCTTTTTTAAAATAAGGAGTTTATCGGGGCTAAAAGCAGGTATAAAGGTATTGTATATTCAATAAAAAGGCATTGTCCTCATTTTCATTTAGTACCACCATTTTTATCAAAGAAAGCTACTAGATGTAGATTTATATAAAAACTATACATATTTGCACATAATACTACATAATGAAGTTAAATGGGTCATCATCATCATTACCCCAGTGCCGCAAAAGCTTCCACCTGCGGTGGGGTAAGGGGGGTCGGATGTACGCAGTCTTACCCATGTACGAAAAGCACATAGAGACTGTTTTCGGATGACCCATGGCGAAAATCGCGTCAGAAATTGCATGAGCTGACTGTTGCTTCATTACAAAGAAGCGCAAACAGTTTAGTGAGTCATTTTGCTTTATTCCATCATATTCACGAGCCAAAAACTAGTGAATCTTTGGCTCCATTGCAAATGATAGAAGTAATGAAGTTAAATGGGTATGTATAATATATTATTAAATGTGACTACTCCCGGTCATATATTATAAAACATGCAAATAGTCATTGCAAATGATAGAAGTAATGTGACTACTCCCGGTCTTGCCGCCTGCCTAGCCGCTGAGCTGATGTGTGCCTTTTAGAAGACTGTTTACCACCCTGCAGTTTCTTCTAATCTCACCAGGCAGACGTGATTGCAGGTCGCCCATTTTTATCATACCTTCAACGAATGCATTGAAGAACTCGTGTTGGTCTTGGCTAAATTCCGTGACGTAACCCCTGGTCTGGGGGGTGGTGAAGAGGCTCTGGTCCGAGTTTAGAAATCCTCTCCCGTCGACCAAGTCCTTGAAATATTGATTGTCAAATACCACCCCCGTGGCATCCAAGTCTCCCGTTACATTCCCATCACCGCCTGCAGGTGGGCATAGCTTTTGCAGCCTGGCTCTAAATTTTGGCTCCATGGTTGGGTCAGGTTTCCCTGAACCGGATTGGTTGTATAGCCGGAAAACGATTGAAAAGCATCTTCCTTTGCCAATGGAATGAGAACCCGAAAGTGCCACTAGATCTTTCACAGATAGATTGAATCTGCTGAAAAGATCAATGAGGTGGGTTGAGTTTGACCTTGGGCTTGGCATGATGCTGTCTGAGTCTTGTTGCCTTGCTGTTAAGCTGTCTACCCTTCCCAACTTTACATCCCACATTGGCCCTCCACTCTGTGAGTCATGACAGGCAAATCTTTATTGTTTTCTTTTTCTTAGGGAACCTATTATTATTTTTCTATTTCCAGCAAGTGGGAAAAAGGATTTAGAAAAACTCAAAACATGTTTTGTTGCATACTCTTCTTATTATTTTTAGAAACAGAAACCTGCCAGTTTAGTTGCACTATTTTCCAAAGTTTTCTATTTTCCAAAACATGTTTAGTTACCCACCTGGTGAAGCAAATAGTCAAATGCAAATGGAGCTGGGAAATTGCTACATTTTTCTATGCAATATGGAAACCAAAATATCATATCATACAAAACTGGAGTTGGAAAAAGAAAACAGAACAACAAAATTGGAGTTGGAAAAAGAAAACAGAACAATCGAACTATACATGGCCTAGAGATCGCTAGAGTTCTTCCCATTGTGCCCAGAAAACTGTGGAACTATTAGTAAATGCATTTTGGGCCTTAAGACTCATGCTGTTTAACTGACACTCCAATGAAACAAAGCTAATACTAGAATATTTGTATACTTGCTGTTGGAGCTATCAAGACTGGAGAGATGTGCATTTATTTACGCTTGATTTTTGTTAGTTGTTACTGTGAAGATACAGAGATGAAAATATGATTCTCTTTTCTCTTTTAGAGACCAATTGTATTTTTTAATCTAAAAAATATGCTAGGGAAAAGAACAACAAAGGGTTAAGAAAGTTATTTTCTCACGTTCCATCAGTTAACTCCAGATAACTGATGTACGAAAAAATTGATGTATGCTTTTTTTCTTCTTCTAATACATATAGCTTCATTTTCAGTCTGTTTAAATCTACTCCATGAATACCAACAAATTGATTTCTGGATAAACTAATTGAGTTGTAGGTTTTCTTTTATTTATCCCCAAATTGCTCTCCTCCTTCCAAGTTCAGTAACTGGTATCTTCCAAGTTCCAAAGAGCTAGAGCCAACTTAAAAATGAAAGAGCATGAAGTTTGATTATTAATTAATTACCAGGACAGTAGCATCTCTTGCGGCCATGATCAAGATGTCAGCACAAGAAACGACACCTGGGCAGGCTCTCTCGACATCTTCCTTAGCCTCATCAATAACCTCGTAAGATCTGAGTGAGTTGATATTGGACAAAGAGAGTTTCTCTCCCACCATGCTTTCTGTGTCGTCCAACAGGACTGAAGCATCACATCCCTGGAACACAAAAATTGAATTTACACTTGAGAAAAAGGTTCGTGGCTTCTTTGAATTGAAAGTTTCTCATATTACATACATTAACGAAGCAATCATGGAATTGTAGGCGCATGACTGAGGCAGCGCTTCTGGGTTCTCTTTCCATGTTCTTGGCGATCACATTCCTGACTATAGCTTCTGCTTTTGGGCAAGTCTTTGAGTAGTATCCTAGCCTGAGCTCCACGGCTGCAGCCATTGCCAGGCTGAGGAGGAGGAGGAGGATGATGGGAAAAGTAAGAGACATGGGAGGTGATGGAATTATTATTATTTTTTTCTTATCATGGCCTCTGCTTTCTTTGCACATTTATACTGACCTTGAAGCATTCTTTTTTACCATGTAAGAAATTTATAATGATCTATTTTATCATACGAAAACTGTAATTTGTGTTGCAACTGTATGGTAAAGTTAGCTATTGAACAGCTTGATTGATGCAAGAATACACAAAGCAACATGAAATATGTGGTTCAAATCACTTCCTCCGTTCTTAAATAAATGCAACGGTAAATATTTTACACTTGCCGAGACACAACTTTGACCATTAATATAAATGATTTTGTATTAGTAAAAAAAATTAAAAAAAATTAGATTATGAAAATTTACAATGTGACAAGTTTAACAATATTTTTTTCATAAAATAATATTATTACATTAATAAATAAAGCGTAGTCAAAGTAGAATATGTGAATAGTGTAAAAGTCAAACTGTTGCATTTATTTAAGAACGGAGGTAATACTTAAGTTCCAATCGTAATATTTTTCCATTGATTGTGTCAAATCAAAACCAAAACACATAAAATGAAATGAGAGTAGTAGAAAAAGGTCAAATGAAGTCTTCTACTATTATGAAAATGTCACATAAGGTCACATGCTCAATGAAATGAGGACTAATGACATGTTGATTGCCTCATAATCCCGTTTTGAGCATACGTTTGACTATCTTTTTAAAATTACTCCCTCCGTCCCAAAATCGTTGGCCAAATTTCCTTTTTTGGTCGTCCCAAAAAGGTTGACCATTTCCATTTAAAGTAAGAAATATGTGACTAAAGTTAATTCTCTCTTCTCTTTCCAAATTTCAATCACACAGTTTTTACTTTATTAATCCACGTGCAAGTCAACATTGGCCAACGATTTTGGGAAAGAGGGAGTATATCATAAAACTGACGTGAAATATTTGGCCATGATTGTTAAAATACAAGACAAAAATAATGACATGTAAGTTAAAATCGGAAATTCTTTACATAATCCCTTCTTTGCTACACTATAAATCTGATTGTACAATGCTCACTGTACAATCAGAAATTTTATGTTATGTTTAATGAGTATAATGTTTAAAAAAATGAATATTGGTATTGAATCAATAAATCACTGTATTGGTAGCACAAATGATTAATAAAAGCATCCATTTGAGTGTCATGATGTACATGTAATATATATATATGCTACAAATAAATTTATTCATTTAACTATATTATTATCAAAGTATTTATTGTGCTAATTTTATAATTTAATATTCATTTTATAAAGTATTTTAAAATTTTATACTTGTTTCTTTTATCATAAAACATTCGGATGTACCATGTGCAGAGTATCACTGGTTTACGGTATATTTTGCCCTTCTTTGCCACTATCTTTTCATAAATTTATAATGCCAACAATAGGTTTGGGTTCATTATTTAAGCATGAAATAATAAAGTTAATGAATAGTGTAGAAAAAATAGGAGAGAGAATTGAATAGTATAAAAAGAAGATAAAATGTAAACAAATGAGTAATTAAGTATTTTTTAAAAGTAAAAACTACCAAAAAAAATAAATGTAACAAACTTTTTAATACATTGAAACGGGTAAAACATTAAAATACGGGAATACATATAAAAGAATTTTCGCTATAATACGGGAATATATACTCGTATAACAAAAATTTAGCTATAAAGTTCACATAACACTTTGATAATGATTGGCACTTGACAGAATATGTCAAATGGTTGTTCTCCTGTCTCTTTTTATCCCTGATTCTTCAACCAATTGGGACCACCGGTATTGATCAATAACGTGTTTATTACCCCGTATGAAATGAAAAGTTCCAATTAGCCTGTGACACATATGGAGTACGGGGTACTCCTTTGAATTGTACAAAATTTACAATTTAAGAAAATAACATTGTTTCTTAATGATTTGATACTGTTTTGTACTGTTTTGTCTATTAAATAAGGAAAGAGAACATTTTTAAGGGACATATCAAACAGGAAAGTGTGATGTTTATTTAGAGACGAAGAAAGTATTATTTATTCTATCGTCACGACTCACAAGCATGCAATTATTGGGTTAATTTGGAGAATGAATGAGAGTCTTTGCTAAAGTGGCTGTATTAATTGATTATGCTGATTTATGGAAAAAAAATATTTGAATAAAGTATATTTTATTAATAAAGAAAAAATTATATGAAAAATAACATCTATAATTACTTCATTCAACATTTATTTTGATTATTAAACAATTTGACGGACGAAAATAAAAATTAGGTTTTTTCGTATTAAAGAAAAAATTGGACGCTAAGCCAAAAGTAGGGTCACCCGGACTCTAACGACCGATGGAGTGTTGAACTGTTGAAGAGTGTTGGTAATAGGGCTGGGACTTTGGAACCAAGAACCAGAGAACCGAACCGGACCGAACCGTTATGACCCGGTTCGGTTCGGTTCCAAAATTTATTAGTTATTTGTTAACGGTTCGGTTCCTATTTTTATTAACGGTTCGGTTCTCGGTTCCTGAAAAAAATATGTACATGGAACCGTTAAGGAACCGTTATATATAATAATTAAAATTTTATATATTTATTATTAGTATATATATTTTAATGTATATTACTTATCTATTTTTATATTACATTCACTATTTTAGTTTAGTTATTTAACTATTTAAAATTATTTTTCATTTTAATCGGTTCTCTTGGGCTTCTTTAGCGAATATCTTGTTTTATTTTATTTACTAAAATTTGCAGTTTGGTATGTATTTATGTGTTAAACTCAACTATTGATGTTTGAAATGAAGTTCAACATATTTGTATTGTAATTTCAAACGTTGAATGTCTTTTTGGCACAAATTTAATCGTGATCTGTAAGATTTTTTTTAAAGAATAGGAACCGTTAAATAACAAGAACCGAACCGTTAAGAATGGTTCGGTTCCTTAACGGTTCTATAAAATAATTTATAAGAACTGAACCGTTAGTAAAATTTCATATTTTCAAACGGTTCCACATATTTTGCCTAGGAACCGAACCGGTCCCAGGCCTAGTTGGTAACATTTTTTTAACACACCTAAACAAAAACAAAACAGTACACTCCAATTCTCCAAAACCCATTTTTGAATGCTTGGCATAAATATTCCAATTTTGTTATGAGTACCCCAAAAGGTACCCCATGTTTACCTCATATAAAAACCCTCCCCACTTTTTTCCTTCTCTTCCTCCCCCACTTTTTTCTTCCCCTCCCTCCCTCCTAGGCATGGCAATGGGTCGGGGCGGGGCGGGTATTGCAAGACCCGGACCCGCCCCGTGACTTGGCGGGGCAAGTCCGCCCCGCCCCGTGACCTGCACGGGTCCAAACTGGTTGACCCATGACTCGCCCCACCACAGCCTAATTAGCTAGTATGTATTTTTATTTGTGAGAAGTTGTTACCAATTGAATCTACATAATGTTTATCTCTAAATAATAATTAAAAATCAATATATTAAATCAAATTCATGATAGGCTAAAAATTTCAAAAATTAAGTAAAAATTACTCAAACTTGAATAGTTAATCTAATTAGTTATATTAATAATTGAATATATGTATTAAAATTCTATATATAAAGAAGACATTGATAATCCTCATGCATCTCGTTCTAATATATATTCATACATTATAAGATCAAAGAATTTATGATTTATTGTATACACACATATGTATGTTGAAGTATATTTGTAGTATAATTTAAGAAAAAATATGTATACTTATATATTGAGCGGGTCGGGGCGGGTCAGGGCGGCACGGGTCAATTCTAATACCCGGACCCGCCCCATTGTATAGGCGGGGCGGGGCGGACCCGCCCCATTTGCAAGACGGGGCAGGGCGGACCCGCCCCAAATGTCTCGGGCCAGGGCGGGTCATTGCGGGTCGGTTTTTTTTTTACATCCCTACTCCCTCCCTCTCTCTCCTGATTCTTTTATCTTTTCACGCAGCCTCATCCCTTCCCCTTTCTCTTTTCTCCATTTCTAGATCTCCCCTTCTTTAAGGTTTCTCATTTTTACCTTCTTTTCCTCCTCCAACCTTCTTCTCCTGCTTCTCTCTTCTTCCACCTTTTTTTTTCATTTCAAATGGCGGAGCTACACTAGTCGGGCGAATGGGGAGAGCTTGGTGAACAAGAAGGGACGAAGAAGGTGTAGACCAAGAAGTTTGGAATGGCTTGAGACCAGATTTTATTTTCTTGATTTCTTGTTCTTGATTTTGTTTTCTTGTTTTTTGGATGTGTTTTCAAAATAAAAAAGGATGTCTGTCTGACAGACAACTTGTAAGTGCAGTGTCTGTAAAAGTCGTGAAGTTGTATGTCTGTCTGTAATTGATGGTTAATTGTTCTTCATTTGTTTTGAGTTGTCTGTAAATGTTTTTAGTTGTCTGTATTTGTTTTGAGTTGTCTGTATGTAATTTGTGATGTTTATATTTTGAGATGTAATTAGTATAACGAGACAGACATTAAATATACACATACAAATAATAAGTATACACATACAGACATTACTTTATTGTGAATTACCATTTTGGCATATGTTTCATAAAAAAGACAGACAATACGTATCACTAGACAGACAATAGAGATAACCAGACAGACATTATTTTTCACCACAAATTACATACAACTCACAATGAAATGACAAACAACTAAATATGAGTTACATACAACTTCTCGACTCTTACAAACACCTCACAACAACATGACAGACAACTCAAAACAAATACAGACAACTAATAAACAAATGACAAACAATTAAATATCAATTACAAACATTTAGTTTTCAAATGACAGACAATTTCACGACTCTTACAGACACTGCACTTACAAGTTGTGTGTCAGACAGACAACCCCTTTTATTTCGAAAATACATCAAAACTCAAGAAAACAAAATCAAGAAAAGACGATCTATTGCTCAATCTATTCAAAGTTTCTTGGTATGCCTTCGTCGTTGTCTTCCCTTGAGGTTGCATCCGAAACAGAAACCGGTGTAGGCCCGCCGTCGGCAACCGGCATAGGGCCACCGTCGGCAA